TTGGCACAATTATCAAATCACTTTTTGAGGATAAAATATGAATTGGCAAACTGATAATAATTATGACCAACATTATGTCCATCTCAGCTAAATTGATTATCCTTTCACTTATTTTTTTTTCCATTTGCAGCCATCCATAGTAACCCTAAATGGGGTCCTAACTTCTTGCATTGTGATATTTCCAATTCTTAACATGGGAAAGGTTTTTCCCTCTCTCTCTTTTTTTTTAAACTCTAACCTAACCTTTAAGAATTCCCAGGTGTTTCCCCAGATCTGATGACGATGAGAGCAAAAGGCAAAGGGGAAGTTGTGCAAGGGTAGCCAGCTGTGATGATGGGCAGGTTGACTGCATGTGTGAGGTGGGTGGCCAGGCAGCCAGACTAGCTCCAATTGGCTCCAGTGTTTGTGCCAGGCTGGGCAGGACTGGCCTGAGAGTAGAGTGTTGGGTGTTCCAGGAAGCTAGACTAGGCTTTTGTGCCAGGCAGCACCTGGAGTAGGAGGGAGAGACCTGAGAAGCCAATGCAAGGGGAAAAGCAGCAGGAGAAGCCCACCTGCCTGGCTAGGACTTGGTGTGGAAGTGCACCAGGCCACTTGAATGACAAGGCAAGCAATGACCATTTGATTCAGGTCATCACAGGTAGCTGTAACTGAACATTTGGGGGTCCAGGGTGCCCAGCTGTTGTGGGGGAGGGGATATCACAACAGGAAAAAGGCACTGGTGGGACAAGTCAGTGACCTGCCAGCAAAGTGGCAGCTCTGCGATTTTGCCCCATGTTGGGCACCAATTATTGTGGCTTGTTTTAATGTTTTATTATGCCATAAAGCTCAGGAGTCAAATATTAGGAAATAAACGATTGATTCATGGAGCACAGGAGAAAAGATCATGTCACCCTGTTCTTCATCTCTCTGATTGAAAATACCCATCTATCTCCCCACGCCCCCTCTTAATCTGACCTCTGCCTCGTGGTATGCCCCTGTAGCTCTTCTGAGTCGGCCAGAAAACTCTACAGTCCACTCCAGCCAGCTTAGCATGGACTCCACCCTCCAAGCCAAGGTCCAACTCCATTGGCCGTTTCAATGGCAACACAAACAAATCTCCTGCAATAGGTATTTCTGAAATGAATGAACTAATACTTGGATAGATAATCTAATAGGCAGGTTTGGTAGGAAGAACAGACATGTACATAATTAATTTTTTGTTAAGAAAATACTTTATATGAAGCTACAATTTATGTATCTATCCCTAAGCCTTGGGGAAGATGTTATCTTGAGGGCTCTCCACTTTATCTATTTTAATACTTAGTATCAGCTCCAAGTGGCAATGATTACACCGTTATATACTGGGCATGGTGCAGAGAGATGAATACATTGTGTCCGAGTTCACATTGTTAATGAAAAAGTAACAAATTCAGATCCGTTGACTCTTAAAACTTTTAACCACAGCTCCCCCTCACCTTTTATAATAGAAACTTCCCAAGTGTGGGCCTCAATGTATAAAAGAAAAAAACCTAGCAATTTTCTTCTGTGGGACATGTTCAGAGTGATAGCAAAAGCAATTTTGAGTGTGTTGTTCAATCATCCTGCTTTTTTGGTATTTTCCTGAAGTCTGATTCCAGGAAAGAGGAGTGGGGGTAGCGTTGAGCTGTTGGGTAGACTAGTCAAAAGGAAAGAAGGCTTCTGGGTAGAATCCAGTTTCCACTAGAACAAAGAAGAAGGATAGTATTTTACACTCAACAACAACAGAAAATCTGTTAGGAAATTTTAATGGTGAAAACCTGCTAATGACAGCTGAATCAGGGAGTGAGACAAAAAAGATAAAGAAATATTTTATGAAATTGAGTTCCAAATGGCATTGCAACATGCAACTCTCCATTAAATGACAAAGAAAGTGACCCTAATCATAGGTTTATGCTGTGGATATCACTCTATATAAATAAAACACTGATGGCCAGTGACCAGGCAGGAAGTATAGGCGGGACAAAGAGAGAGGAGAATTGGGGAAACAGGAAAAAGGGGGGAGACACTGCAGCCACAGCCAGGACAAGCAGCATGTAAAGATGCCGGTAAGCCACCAGCCACGTGGCAAGGTATAGATTTATGGAAATGGATTAATTTAAGATATAAGAACAGTTAGCAAGAAGCCTGCCACGGCCATACAGTTTGTATGCAATATAAGTCTCTGTGTTTACTTGGTTGGGTCTGAGCGGCTGTGGGACTGGCGGGTGACAGAGATTTGTCCTGACTGCGGGCAAGGCAGAAAAACTCTAACTACAGGTTTATAAACCACAGAGCTCTGAACTCAACGACTTACCCAACTTGCTGCTTGAGAAGTGACTATGGGACTTCGGGCCTAGGAGAGCATATGCTGGGGACATGGAGGAGTCCGCAGACTCCTGGGGTCCCAAGAGACCCAACAGCACACAGACCAAAATGATCCTCCTTGAAGATTCTGTTCAGGGCTTGCTGCCACATGTCTCCCAAATGCTGAGGCACAACCATATTCTGTGGGATCTCTACTGGACTCTCTGCCTACAGTGGCACCTCATGTGTTGAGTGAGATTGTCTCTCCATGCTATGGTGAGCCACTGCTGGCTGGCTGTACCAATAAACTGAAGAGAACAGCAGTTCTCAGCGTCACCAGCCAGGCTGGACATTGGCAGACACTTTTGAGAAAGGGCCAGAGAGTAAACACTTAGACTCCGGGTGCCATCCCAGAGGAGAAATTGAACATACTATTTGGGTATTTATATAACAAGAAGGGCAAAAGTAAATTTCACAGAGGTTTTACTGATGAAATGCAAACTAAAATACTGCATACTGTCCCTTGTAAGATCAATCTACTACTGAGAAGAATTTAACTCTGTGTATGTGGGATGGGGGTTGGGGGGGCAACATTTCACTTCACCAGGGTTCCAAGCTAGTGCTTCCTATCATGGGACAGATTGCCAATCTTCACCCATAGCATCCATGTTATTTTGCAGGATTTAAAGAGCAAGCAATAACACAAATGTAGATTGGCTGCTCTGGCCAGACCTGGGAACTTACTGGAACACATAGAATAATGACCACCCACAGCAAAGGCCAATAACAACATTTAGCCCTTTGGTCTCCCTGATGTTAATTTAATGAGCTTGAATAGTATTTGTTTGTTTGTTTGTTTTTGTTGTTGTTGTTGTTATTGTTTTGTTCTCTTGCTTTCTTTCCCTGATGCTGGGGATTTAAATCAAGGACCTCAACACTTGCCACACTGAACTGCACCCCATCTTTGTCCATAGTTTTAATATAAATTGATGGGGTTCACAAAATTTGTTTGAGAAATGTGACCCACCTAGCCATGCCTACTCTGAGGTTTTTTTGAATAAGAGGAATTCCCCTGGGAAGTAAGCAGAGCCTGGAAGAGAGCACTTCTCAGCATCGATGGGGCTAACCTCTCAGATACTGTGTTTAGCAGGGGACCCTGGAGCTCTCCAATGGAAGCTGTGACTTTTCACCTCTGAATTGCCTCCTGAGGTCCTCTGGCTAGAGAGAGATAAATGGGTCTATAACACGGGCCCTGTTTCCTGACTGAATGGGCAGTCTTGGTGCCATAATCATTTCATACAATTGATAAATGACATTTCTGTAGCAAACTCAGCAAGAAGTGTAGAGACTGTCCTCTGGATCGATTCCCTCTCTAGCCCAACTCTTTCTCTCGAAGACTGTCTCAGCGTCTCTAAGGGTCCAATGGAGGTAATCTATCCGATCTCTTTGGGAGAACTGTGTTCAGAATCAACTGAAGTTTGTGATGGCCTCTGCAGTCGACAAATGCTAAAAATTATTACGCATCATTGTCCTCACAAACTGACAAGCTGATGTTTATTCTGACAAAAAAAAAAAGTGCGGAGAGCCCATTATTCATGCGGCATCTCCCCTGGGGCTAAATAGACCGCTTCTCTGTCCATCTGGCACCTTTAAGCATACTGACAATTTTTGCTAAAAAATTCACATGGCTCTTGAGATCCGCTGGATGATAAGGTTCTGCAGACATTTTAAATAGGATCCCACTGTCCTGATCTCACTATCTGAAATTAGGGGTTGCATAACAGGAATGTGGAGCTTGGGGTGCCTACTGGAGGGCTGTGGGAATCTTCCAGAAGCATCTTGCAGCTCCTATTAAGATCAATTACTTAGCCCAATTTGCTAGGTAAACCCTAAGAATGACCCAGACAGACCCAGGTACACAAGAATGGGAACTTTACATTTATGAGGTAAAGCCAGAAAGTCTGTAAAGGTAAGGGGAATCCCACCCCACCCCCCAATCCTCATGTTGTTAAGTAACATCTAAGACCAGGAGCCCAATGTGCTTTGTCCTCCCAGGGAACGAAGCATCTTGTTTCTCCATGAGAATCCCTTCCAGAGCCAGAGACTCAGTATGAAAGTACTTTTGGAAGAAAATAAAAGTGAAAGTGGGAGGATTAGGAAATGCATTCTGGGGACGAATACTCAGTCCTGAGTCTGCTCAGAAAAGGACAGAAGTGAGAGGGCAGCTTCTCCTGACAATGGAAATGTTACAGTTTGGAGAAACTAAAACCACAGAGTGCTCCATAGACTGTGACTCAGAAGGGCTCCGTTGGTCGTTTCGTTGAGGCAGGCTCTGGCTGTGCATCTCAGGCTGGCTTCCAAATTATGATGCTCTCCTTTCAGCCTTCTGAGTGCGGGGATTAAAGATGGGCATCACCACATCCAGCGTAAAATACAGGTTTTTAAAAAAGAAAATAATGTTACATAGGCGGCTGGGACTCAGAAACAAAGGCTCTTTAGATGGCCCCACCCCTGTCTCTTGGTCCTCATTCTCTCTCAAGTAGAATTCCTTTTCTCAAGTGAATCGTAGAAACAAGAACCCCCTTCCTCTTCCCAGGGGTCAGCCATAAAATACACAAATATAACTCTTAACTTCCCTCTCATGCCTCTGTGTAAAAGGTGGCTATAAAGAAACTCTCTGTCATACCTTGTTCAATTGTAGGTGTTCAGAGATCCATTCTAGAAAGCGTTCTAACCCACATGTGGAATAGAGAACGGCTACCAATGAGGGCCTTGATGAGTTCCCATTTGTAAGTATTGGAAACAATTTTCAAATATTAAAGATAACAGCCCTTTGTTGTCTCTACTAGCAATTTGCTTTTGTGTTTTACTGTGATGGCCATTAACTAGAGTATTAAAATTAAAGTGTAGCTACAATGTCTTTTATGACTTTGATCTTGCTTCCCTGGGGGGAATCATCTCACTGCCCCAAGGTCTAGTGTTATAAATCTGCATGGTATTTGGGTTTTTTTGTTTTTGTTTTTTGTAGTATAATCATTTTGCTTTAAAATGTTTAATATATCTGGAATTTATTCTTCATCATATTGAAGAACAGGGACCTAACTTCCTTTTCTTTTGTCTCCTTTCTTTTTGTTTGTGAAACAGGTTTTCACTATTAGCTAGTCTGGCTCCAAATTTACAATTCTCCTGCCTCAGTTTACCAACTGTTATGGATTTTAGGCCTGTGTCACCATGCTTCGCTATACCATCTAACTGAAAGTTAATGCAGAAATATTTATTCAAAACACTTGAGCTTTGAAAAGTTTTATTAACCTATTAAATTTATATTTTCTATATTTTAGTCACAACAATTTATTTAGTTGTGACAAAAATTTATAGAATATGTATATTTACATGTTTTGTCAGTTTTAACTTAAAAATGGGATCATGGGAAGCTGCAAAGATAATAGGGAGAGGTTCTGTGCATCTGTTTTCTGGGGTTGTTTATAACTTGCATAACTATAAAACTCATCAGAACCAGCAAACTGACACCAGAACAATGCGTGGGTAAAGCTTTCTGCCATCTCTTCACTGCGTAAATTTAGTCACCGCTGCTGAAACCAAGATTATTGAGAATTATTCTGCCACTACAGAGGCCTCCTTTATTTTGTTAGTCCACAGTGATTCATCTCTCTCTTGGCCTCCACCATCTGTAACCCATGATAATCTTTTATCTGTTATCCATCCCTGGGACTTTGGAAGATAATTTTACAAGGGAGAAATTATATAATATGAACCGGATGAGATGTGCGAATTTTTAAGCACGTGAGAGTCATCAAGTTATTGCTTTTATCAATAGAGTTTGTTCCTTTTTATTGTTAGGTGGTATTTAAAATTCAACACAGCATGTTTAATGTTCCACTTATTAAAGTACATTTTGTCCCTTTCAGTTTAGAGTTATTCCATATAAAGCTGCTGTGAACAGCAGTGTATGTAATTGTGTGACTGGGACTTGTCTTTAGGAAAACACTTGGGTACCTAAGTGTTGGACTGTAGGATGACAGCACACGCAGTTTTCTTGAGTATCACATTCCTACAACAATGTCAAAAAATTCAGTTTTTCATCCCAAACAAGTTGTACCATCACTGTTTTTAATTTTTAAATTTAATAGGAGTCATGATAGTTCATTGTTGTCTGAATTTGCACTTGCTCATGGCCAACAGTATTAAATAAGCATCTTCCCATAGACCGTGTATTCTTATATCATTCTCATTGAGCTCTTTGTTCATGTATGTTGTCCATTTTTCTCTTTAGAGTGGTTTGGTTTCACTTTTAAGTTTTACATACTCTAGATACTATTTCTTTTTCAGATATATAGTTCCATCTTTTTAGCAGAGGCTTTTGCACAGAGCTGGCAAAAGTAATTTTCTTTTCAGTGAATCCCAACTTACCAGCCCCTCTTGTTTTTCCTGGATTGTGCTTTCATGGACTGTTTAAGGTCTCTTCACTAAACTCCATGTCTCAAAAGCATTCTTCCTACTTTTCATTTAAATGCTTTGTTTTCTTTTATCTTGGATGTGTTTGGTTTACTTTTTGTTTAAGCTGTGGAATGTGGTCCAGGGAGCAATGCAGATGGAGTGATGGGCTCTCTTATTTGGCTCAACACTAATATTAGTCTTTTGTGTACATCTTTAATCTGAAATTTCTCCTTGTAAGACTTTCCAGAGAACCTACCACTTAGTGTTCCATACATGCCTTAGCTGGTTGTCTTTCTTTCTTTCTTTCTTTCTTTCTTTCTTTCTTTCTTTCTTTCTTTCTTTCTTTCTTTCTTTCTTTCTTTCTTTCTTTCTTCCTTCCTTTCTCTATATATCTATATCTATCTATCTATCTATCTATCTATCTATCTATCTATCTATCTATCAATCATCTATCTATCTATCTCTCCTTGAGCTCACTGGTTATCTTTCTGCCTCCTGATCTGCATACCCCTCCATTAGTAATTTTCAAAGTTTGATGTGACCAAATGTACAATAAAAGCTATTTAAAGGAATAGGGATTCGTTTGGGCTCAGTTCCAGAGATATACCCCATTTTGGTGAGTAGGGCATGGAGATGAAGTGTCAAGAATGTGGGGGAACAGCAACTCCTCACATCCTGATGTGTCAGAAAGTGGAGGCAGTTTTAGTCTTCCAAAGCCCAGCTCTAGTGGACTTATATCTACCAGCTAGGGCCCAGGTACCAAAGGTCCCATGATCTGCCAAACATCACCACCAGCTGGGGAACCAAGGCTTTAAACACATTTCACATTCAAGCTGGTACACCTCCCTCCCCATTCTTACACATAAACTTTAGGATAGACTATGTTCATTGAGATAATAATTTATCTTAGAAAAATACATAAATCATATGCATCTATTTTCATGTATTTGGGATCTTAATGGAGATTTCTAATCATCACAATTTCATTATAGAATGTGAGAGTTAAGAAAATGAAGGAATTTGTGTTGTAGTTAGACACTGGGGCCATCTTTCCAATCTGAAAGGTCCCTGAGAGGTAGTCTTTTGTACTTGCATGAACCTAAAGCTCTTCTCAGCTCCTCAAGCCCCCTTCCTTGGGTCCAGGAAAGCAGGGCCGTGATAAAGCATGGACCTGTGCAGTCTTTGCTAGCCATAGAACAGCAGAAGAGGTTGGTAAGTCCCCTCTCAGGAATAAGTAAGCTTCAATAAAGCCGGCGGGGCTTCCAGTTACAATGTCATCCATCTATAATCCTCAAAAATTCCTCAGCTGTATAATTTACATGGTGAAAGTTTGTGGCCCCTGTGGCTGACAGCAAAACCCTAAAAAACTGTTGCTGCATCTGTTTGGTGGGTGTGAGAAAGTCATAGCCAGGAAGAAACACCTGATTCTGGAACTCCCTTGAAGAAGAAACACAGGTGACTGGTACACATGGGAGGAAAACAGAATCCTTGGGTGGACCAGAAGAAGAAAAGGAGAGCCTGGGGCTGTGTTTATGATGCATAAATTCCAGCATAGGAAGTATGACTTTCTTCCAGAGGCATAGTGCTCCTAAGACTCCTACAGACTATTGGCTGCAGGAAGGATCAGACTTGAAATTCTAAAGAATTATTTTATTTCTTACCTTGCTATCTTAGTTAGGGTTTACTATAGCTGTGAAGAGATACCATGACCACGGCAACTCTTATAAACAAAACATTTAATTGAGGGAGGTTGCTTACAGTTTCAGAGGTTTAGTCATCATGGTGGGGAGCATGGTGGCATGCAGGCAGATGTGGTGCTGGAGCTAAGAGTGCTACATCTTGTGGGAACAGGAAGTCAACTGACTATAACACTGAAGGAAGCTTGAGAAAAAGAGACCTCAAAGCCTAACCCCACAGTGACACGCTTCCTCCAATAAGGCCACACCCACTCCAACAAAGCCACACCTCCTAATAGTGGCATTCCCTTTGGGGACCATTTTCTTTCAAACCACCACACTTAACAGTGTTAGTTGAATCCAGGACTTGCATATGGTAGGGAAGCCCTCCACCATGGAGTTACACCCCACCATGTCTCCCTTAAAGATTCTGCAACCAGATGTAAGGCTGATGAAAATTTAGAAAGTCGATGAACACATAAGCGCTGAACACAGAAACACCATAGGTGAGCTTGAATTGGATGTGAATGCCTCACATGGTTCACATAAAAAATATCCACGGGCTACATCTTCAGAAGTGGACTCGAAATGAGTTGAGCCTGAGCTCTTTCTCTGTTTTAAAACAGTTCAGGCCCCTAGGTGCTCGTCCCTCTGTGGATAGTGAGATCTCGAACGTAAATAACCAAGAGAGGAATTCCCACGGTGATGCGGAGCAGCATCTGTGTGCTCACTAATGATCAGCAGAAGGGAGTAAACATCACTCCGATGTATGGCACTGGAAGGAGGTCCTGTAAGGACTAGAAATGATGGCAAAGGATTGGGACATGAAAATGCCATTCATCTGGAGAAAATGCCCACAAACCCCGCTGGTATATTGTCTGGAGAACCAAGCAAGCTAATGAGCTAAAGAAGCCTGGAAGGTGGCAGTGCCAACATGGAACTGGATGTCAGAGAAGAGGAAAGCAAATGAGGCTGCCACAAGACCACTGGGGTGGATGTGAAGTGGCAAAGTCAAAAATGATGACCGAAGACAGAGATTCCCACTAGCTTGACCTTCGTATAACAACTTAGGGTTTGCTTTTAAAATTATGTTCTTGAACAATGCTGGTGTTTCATAACTAGGTCAGAGTGTCCCATGGCTCAGATATGAGGATTGTATTCTTTTCCAATTTTAGGGGAAATATATTATCAGACAATAATTCACAGTGGTAAAGTTCTCTTCCTTAGGTGTTTGTCATATATTTGAGGTTCCTCATGCTTCTGTGTATGACTGCTCATTGATTTGTGATGGCGTCAGCTGTCCATCACTATGATAAGTACCTGACATAACTTTTTAAAAGTTGATTCAGAGTTTATAAAGATGATGAAGTTGACAAGCATTTGTTTGAGCTCACTGTTGGAGAGGTTTCAGTCCATAATTGTGTGGTATTGTTGCCCCAGGCCTATGGTGGTATGTTATGGTGGAGCATGTGGTAAGCTCATGGCCAAATGCAAAACGGAAGACTGGGAAGGGACTGGGGTACCAGGTCCCTCTCTAGGACAAACTCCCCAAAGGAAGGGAGATACCTCATTACACCCCACGTCTTAAAGATTCTGCTATGTACAAACAGTTCCACAGAATGGCGAAGAAGGCTTTAACGCGGGAACCTCTGAGAGGTACTTGGCCAAACTGTAGCTGATTCAATGCAAAATCATATAAGAACTGATTTTAGGATTTGTTCCAAGAAGCGTGTTGACATTGAGAAGCTTCCCACCTTTAGAAGAAGCTTGGTGATCATTAAGCCAAGTAATGGAAAGGTCCAGAACTGTACAATCCCAAGCCCAATAGCTTCTCTGTGTTTGAGAAGTTTGTATAAACATTTTGCCATGTTTTGTATAAATCAGCACTTCTGAAAAGCAGGAAAGAAGGCCTAAGGAACATTGCACAAATGACCTTTGTGTAATCTTTATAGTTTCCACACCTATAGGAATGGGAAGGTTTGGAAGACAGGGGTGAACCTTTGGATATCTTTCCTTTAATCACATCATTCAATATCAACTATTCAATATTATGCATCATTTAAATAGTGCATTAATATGTATAGAGTCCAAAAAGTTATTCAATATGCTTTTGAGTTGTTTGTTTGTTTGTTTGTTTGGCTGCAGGAGCAAAGAGAGAATGATATTATCCAGTCTGACCCGACTTGCTATATCCTTTAAACACATGGGACATTTCCAAGTCTCCACCTTTCCAATGGGATGAAAAGATCAGCCAGGATAAAGGTACAAAAGCCATTGTTTGGGTGTGATTAAGAACCTGTCTCGTTTAGAGACAGAGTGTACCTACATTTTAGTGCCTCCACAAACCAGTGGAGATGAGAACAGAAAGTCAGGGAGCCAGTGCCATTGATGGAGTCCTGGAGTCTTATGACACCCTCTAAGCTGATGGGCTCAGCTCCTTGACTCCAGGCTGACTGTCAGTCCTCATGTGTGGGTTCAGCTGTAGCACCCTGCAGGCTTGTGCTTCTGTATATGACTATTCCTTCTGTTCTTCATTTTAGGAGATGGAGTAGTTTATCTCCCTGGTTCTCATTCTTCTAGAATAAACATTTAAACGGACCTCTGCTCTGAAGAGAAAGCTTCTGAAGTGGCTGCTGTAAATTGTGATCGTTCCTAATTCCTCTCCTCTCCATTGTGGATTTTCTGTCTTGATTGTATGCGTATTTATCTCAATAAATAGGGAAAGTGTAATTTCCTTGACAAAAAATGAAAAGGTGAAACTGTAACCCTGATGGATATCAAGTATCCAGAAAGTATCATTTTACTTTCATTGTGTTAATGTTTATGTCAGCAAAGTCAGAAAGTGAATGATTGGGAGGATTCTGAAAGAAACCTGTGACAGAGCCACTATGTCAGGTAAATACCTTTATATTATAAAATCCCTTTATAACTGAAGTGTGTTCTCCCCTCTCCTCTCCCTCTTCCCTCCTCTTTTCTCCATCTCTTCATCTCTCCCCTTTACCTCAGCCAAACCAAGGTCCTTGGGGTCAGGACTTTGGAAAGCAATAGCCATCAGAAATACCTTGAAATATCACTCCAATGTTTTTGCGTATCATTTTCCAGTCTAGAACATCAACATCCTCCCTCCATAGGAAGCTGTGTGATTCCTTTACTTTGCCTGTCGTGAAGCGATGCAGGAGTCTGTGTGTCAGTAGAGAAATATTTGCAGTGCCTCTCCTACATAATGATACTTCAATCTTCTTCAGTAAAGAGAAGCCAGCTTAGGTTGTCAGTGAGATTTCATACAACTCAAAAACAAACTTAGTAGGAAAATGCTGTGATTTTGTCTTTCAGATGAAAAAAAAACCCCACAAATACAAGTGTCATTGTAGTGAGAGCATTTTAAGCATTTAACATATCATTTGTGGTTCTCATAAGATCAGGAGAACCATTGGGTAAAATCATTCTATGGATATCGGTTTATGCGTTTTGTGTTTTTAGCATACTTTGTGATATACATGTGTGAGGGGGAAACATTCTCTTTGGCTTTCTCTTTATAACACATACTATGGACATGTTACTGCTGCTGCCATGAGGTCACCTAGAAGACATGTGTACTGATAAGTAATTGGGTAACTATTGTAGTTCTTCATCTGCTCTATGGTACTGAGTTTTGAGCATGAAAATTCAATAGTTCCATTTTCAATAGCAGCCAGTGATGACTGTAAAATATTGTGAGGGCTCTAGAGACCCATCACTTAGATTCCTAAATAGCAGGGGTCACATGATGGCTCCCCTGTTGACACTGGTGTGAGATGTAAGGAACCCTGACAGTTCAAAGCCTAATGGCTCTAGGAGAGTGAGGCACTGGTCATGTGACATGCAGGGGACTGTATAGACAAGGGAACCCCTGCAGGCTGGCTGGGATTTGCTTATATTGCAAAGCAAATGAAGGAGTCTTTCTGTGTCTCGCTCTCCATTGCATCCCCAGTATCCGCCACTGTGGTGCCGGTAGTCAGGTAGAGTGCCCTCTGAACAACACTCATCACCATCATCGTCATAGCCACCACTAGCAGGTGGGTACTGAGGACTCCCCAGTGACCTTCTGTTTTTCCTTTGCTTTGGTTGTTAATTATTTTGATAAACCTAAGTATATTATTTACTAATAAGACCATGGCCTCTATTTTCTTGTCCAGGATACTTTCAAATATTTGTCTAATTTTCGGCCTCCCGTTCTAAAAAGTAGACCATGTGTCCTTGAGAAAGCCTTCCCTGAATGTCCAGCTTAACTCATTTTCTCCTACTGCCCACTCTTCCTTCTCCCCAGACTCTTCTAATTTGTTCATAAAACTTCTCAAGATACAAAATTCTCCCCTTTGCTTGCCTACTTGTTTGCTAACTGCTGCAGAAGGATGTTGACTGTGCTGTTCCCTCTCTGTCAGCAGTGGTGATTAGAATACAGTAGGTGCCCAACAAACATTTCGAGAGTGAATAATACAGGAATCACAGTGGTCGCTGAGAAACCACAAGAGCTACTTATGAAAGTACTCACTGGATGCATCAAAGGCCTGCCACCCAAGTAGCAATCTCGGGATCTTTTGGCTCTTTACTCTTGAAATTCTTTGTCTGTGTCTTCTGTTTGGTGCTGTGTACTCACAGCAGCTCATATCTCAGTTAATGGTCTAAGTGTGGACATAGGAGTCATGAGCGGCTCAGAGGGATATGCTATCTACCTATAATTCTAAAAATTATGCAGAGTAGTATGAGACACATTTTGGGAAGACAGACCAAATCCAGCTGTGGGTCTCTGCTTGGCTGCTTCACTATGAAGCTCTCATGCAAAGCCCTCCATGAGCTCAGCTTTGATCTGCTTTCAGGCCTGCCAGAGCACTCTAGTTCTCAAGTCTCAATTACTTTGAAAGGCACCAAATCTAGCTTTGATGGTGTACACGGAGAATGGTAGAAAATTCAGGCGATTTGAGGAAAGCTAAGTGAACAAAAATGAAGCTGCTTTTTAGAGAAAACAACCTCTAGCAGATTTTTATGGCCGTAATGACACGAATGAACCAGATTGGAGACCAAATGAAGGCTGTCATTGACACCTGCCATCTGTCTGAAGTAAAGGTAGGAGACCCTGTTGGATGCTTCCTGAGGAAGGCACTTTCCTTGCATCAGTTCCTTCCCTCTGTCCTTGTCCTTGTTTGGGTTTGGCCTCTTCGGTTAATTCTCAGAAGCGCAAGAAATGACCTTGACTGTGACCCTAACAACACCAGCATGAATTTCACTTTGGTTTCAAAACTGAAGTTCTTAAAAGTTATCTCTTCATAGTTTTCCTTGCAGGACTCCAGGGGATTGGAAGCTGAGACAAGCACTGGTCCCTTGATCGCACAGCAGCGTTCTTCGGGGAAAAGCTAGAACACAACACTCTAAGTGCTAACTCCAGGAAACCCTAGGGCTCAGCAAAGCCCAGCGGTAGAAATGCTATCCTGGGGCTTTGCAGTCCCATCCCTACATCAGGACTTCCCCTGTGTTCTTTCCTATCTCTTCTGCTCCCGGACAAATCAAATGGATTTTAATCCAGTGCTGTGCTTTATGTCTTCTGTCTTCTCAGGCACTTATTCTATTCTATCCATAGCATGAAAAAACTCAATGCAAAAAAAAAAAATCCACTGAGTTTGCCTTGAAGTAAAATACAATATATGAACTTGGATTCCAGAAACAGTAGTTATTTGGGGGGGGAGGGTGCACTCTGGACAGTGTTTTCATTTGTTAGCCGTCCTGACTACATCTATGTGTCCATGTATTGTTGTACTTTGCTGTGCATTTTTGCCATTTTTATTGTTGTTGTTGTCAAGGTATGAAGAGGGTAAAGAAGAAACAATGGAGAGGAATGAAAGGTTTTGTTTTCTCTAGCCAAAATGATGATTTTGTTCTTTTCTGGTATTCTACCTTCCAGAGGGTTGAGAGTCTTTTCTATGACACTCTCAAATGTCCTATTGGTTCATACAGATTTATACTTTGACTGAAGAATTGTATAAGTTTGAAATCTGAACTAGAATAAACTGAAATGGAAGTGTCCAAATTAATCATAAAATGAATGAACCAATAGTGGAGAAAGTGTTGTCACCCTCCAGATCGGCTTCCTGGAGAATCTCTGTACGTAGTAGTTCAGGAGGACAGGAATGGCCTACACACAGTGGGTCCCATGTAGATCCTAGTAAATGTGAATGGTAAGGAGAGTGAGGGAGTCAAGCTGGGATATGGACTTAGCTAAGTGTAATGAGTGTTTACAATGTTCTAAGCATGGGCTTACACCAACTCAATTTATTAAACCTCATCACAGTCATGTTAGGAGGCAAGTATTAGCATCACTATCCCCATTATGGATGGGAAGGCTGAGTGAGGCAAGATTAAGTGATTTAGTTACTTAAACTAAGCCATCAGTTAGTGGAGGAGGTTGGTTCCAGAACCCGAACACACTTTCCCTAGCACAATCACTCTGAGGGAGTAAAGGGGACGCAGAGGTGGGAGCTGGCAACCTTAGGACTTGAGCAGGCCGTCTTCTGTGGGCAGACTCCTGAAAATAAAGGCGGCCTGAGTGTGCATGGAGTACAGCACTACCACCACCCATGGAGAAGCCCAGACGCACAGGCAGGCCAGCAGGTTCAGGTGGGTGAAATGATCACACTGGGAGTGGTTGATTACATTATATGAAGCTACAATATCATTACAACATTTTCCCTCTTCCATTTCTTCCCTCCAACCCCTCTCTTTTCCCTCCTTGCTCTCCCTCAAATTCGTGGTCTCTTTTCCTTTCATTGCTGACACATGTTTCTTTTTTCTTCCCCTAAATATATAAATACAACCTGCTCGGTCTCTCTAATGTTACTTGCAAGTATATGTTTTGAGGCTGACCGCTTGATATTGGATAATCAGCTGGGGAGCTCATCCTCAGGGAAGACTATTTCTTCTCAGTCAGCATTCCTTAGTTGGTTATAGTTCTTGGTCTAGGGTTGCAGAGAACATACTGTGGGCCCAGCCCCAACAGATATATCTACAACACAACTGCTGTACCTAAGGCTCTGGAAACATTGTGGAAGATAGGACACAAGACTATAACAGTCAGGGGAACAGGAAGTCTGCTGTGAGATTGGATTGCTAGAAACACAGACCCCTTTTAAGAGCAAATGAAAAGTTACGGGTCAGAGTTTAATGCAACAGTATTCAGCTAATCTTTTCCCTGTCAATCACTTTGCATGATAATCACATGTTCAAAGTATGTGCTGAGGACTTAGATCCTGAGACACTAGAGAATTGGGTGATACAGGACCCTCTGTCATCTGCAAGAAGGAAGTTGTGTCCTGTGTCCTGAACCTCAGAAATCCGTGGTCAGTGAAATGGGGGGGGGTGGGGCACAGAAGGGCCAAGAGCCTTGTTATTGCTTCAAAAAAATACCTTGACCCATCTGGAAAAGCCTTGGGAACACTGGGTGATTGTGTATTACAGAGATAATACAAGACTCCACTGCAAACAGATGGATGTTTGATTTCCTGTGATATCCTGAGCTGAAAAACAAAAGAAAATGACTGAATATGATAACATAGCTGATACTGAGAGCAGTTCAAAGTACCAAAAAAGCCCAGTTTGGAAAGAAGACTTTAAACAATAAACCTGTTAGTTAGTCATCAATGTAAGAAGCAGCTAGCTACATCCCATCGCCCCTGTGTATGTCCACTTTGTCAAGCTAGAGATTTTCTTTCTTCTCCTAATCCATCAAATGAGTTTTGAATGTGCACCTGGTGGCTATAATTTATGCAAAGAGTGAAACTGTTAGCTGTTTTACCCACCTAAAACCTTATATGTAGTTCTTCATTAATGCTCCTGTTTGTCTGTAGTCCTGCAGGGCAGAGGGTAGGGATTGCCGTTTGTCCCTTGGCAGTCTGCTCTGTAGTGAAATGGGGCTGCGGGGTCCAGTCTTTGTACAAAACACCAGATCATTATCGGGTTCAAGAAATGCAGGGATTTCTGAGCCAAAAGGCTTTAACAAACCACCAGAACGGGTTGAGTTCCTTTTCCTTTGCAGTGATTTCCGTAAAAGGAGACATTCCACGGTGGGGTAGGAAGCGTTTCCTTTGTTGTCCTTTCTTTTCTAATATTTTGGTGCTGAGTAAAAAAATACATGGAAGGAGATCGAGTTGAAACACCAATAGCAGCTCAGATCTGTATGTCTTTAAAAAGATGGCAGAGGTCACCTTTCAAATGTGCAGGTGATGCCTACCTTAGGATTCGCATCCCTCCCATCTTCCCCCCCCATCCCTGCTTCAATGATTGCTATTCACCTTTATCATTGACTCTGTATATTTAGTTTCTTTATTGTTTTTTGCACAATATATTCTTGAGATGCTGTGTAGCTTTAGAACAACCTCAAGGCTAGATTTGTGGGTACACCCTTGAAGAGTAAACAGCACCCACTACCATCACCACCCAAATTTCCTTGCTTGGATGGGAAATTTTAAACAGCCTTGGTTTTATCTGCTCTTCTGTTCCTCTCTGCCTGAATCCTGGCCACCTCATTTTAATAACTAATTGAAATCTTTCTAACTTTCTCAACACTCCGTGGGGAAATTCCATTTGAAATTTCTTTTCCCTGTCATTTCCACTATGCGGTTGAAAGAAGGAAGATAGGAAATAGGCGCTTTCCGCCCCTCCTAACCCCCCCCCCGTGTGTGTGTGTGTGTGTGTGTGTGGGTGTGTGTGTGTGTGTGTGTGTGTGTGTGTGTGTGTGTGTGTGTGTGTGTGTGTGCTCTTCTCTCATTTTCAAATGACGTAGGGAGTTTGGACAACCTCCCTACCCCCACCTCTCCTGTTTGATGCTAACTCTGATTCCCATTCCTGGAGAATGAGTTTCGCTTTGAAGGCTTGGGTAACCGCAGAAGGTCAGAACAGCAGGGCCCGCCTGAGGGGGTATCTCCAAGCCTACCCTAATCTCTAATGAGCCCCGGCTGCCCACGTCCCAGGAAGCCACTGAGGTCCCTTAAGGCCGGTTACACAGCCTAGTTCTGCTGAAGGGTGATAGCATCTGACAGAGATTTCCAGGAGTCCGGTGGTGCGCCCAGCTCTGTGGGCCCCACTCCGCGCCCGCCCCGAGGCTGGGTTCGCTGGGGGACAACTTACTGTGTTCTTGGAGGTATCTACAGTGCAAACTTCAAGTGTAGGTGGGGGCAGGGGGACAAGAAGGCTATGTACCCTGTAGAGTAGGAGCTACAAAAGAAAAATAAAAAAGAAAGAAAGGAAAGGGTGAGCAGAGAGGAGAGGGGCCCGGAAGGAACAGAGACCTGGAGCCTACTCCCTAGCTTCGGGATGCTGATGGGGGACTCCCTGGGAGGGGCTGGCCTTTCTTTGGATCCTCTTGGGCTTGTTGCTCAGACAGGTAGTTGGGGGAAAAGGAAAGAAGCTGTCAGCTGAGGCAGACGGCGGTTCAGCGGCGTCCAGCACCTGCCTTGCGCGATCGCGCCCCGACCTGGCTCAACCGCGCGGTGCAGGTGTCGTCTTCCCTGGTGCCCCTCCTGGGAAGGGGAACAAGTCGCTTCCGAAGGGACGGGCGGCGAGAGGAGGAGGGGTTCTGGGGGGGGCCTGGGGGCGGGGCGGGTGCGCCCCTGAGAGCCAAGCCGGCCGGGTACCGACTGCCATCCTGCCGCAATTTCCCTGTGTCATGGCTCCGGTCTCTTAGCAACAGCCGCCAGTCCGGCCGCCGGGAGCAGCCGCCGCGGGCTCAACTCCACCCGGCGGAGCCCGGCGCGCCGCAGCCACACAAAAGAGGCGCAAGGCCGGGGAGCGCGCGGCCGCAGGGGCCGGCGGGGAGCGCGACGGGAGGGGACAGTGGCAGCCGAGGAGGCGCGCCCGAGGGAAGAAGGGCTCCAGGCGGCGCGCGGGCTGCGGAGGACCTGACACTTCTTGGAAACTCTTGGAAATGGCTCCCGCCACCGCGCCGGAGGGGACAGCGAGCCCTTGGCGCAGGTTGGTCCCCGCCGAGCTGTCCAGCCGCTATTGCTATTGCGCCCGGGGCCCCGGGGCGCTGTCCCTGCGCTCCGCCGTCGGCTGGGACTGAAAAGTTTCTCCATGGTTCTTTGTGTCTCCCGAGCTGCCCTGGTCTCCCTGGGTAAGTGAGCGATTATTGTTTGCTTAGAGTGCCTCCATTTTGAGCAATCCTGTCAATCCCCGGCCTCCGAGCGACCTTCCTCAGCCCACCTGTCCCCGAGCCCAGGCCCCTTAGCGGATGTTCCGAGCCAGGTGTTCTCCTGGGCGTGCTACCAGGGCTGCGCTGCCCAGAAAAGGCGAGTTGGGGATTGCCTTCATTTCGCTCCAGCCAATCCTCCCTCCAGAGGCGGACTTGCAGCTGCTGCACTCATGTGACTGACTAAAGTAAGGGCAAGGGACGCACGGCCCTGGGGGCCAAGGGCCGGGGGTCGAGGACCTAGGTTGGGTGAGGGGCACAGTATGGCGCGCAACCCTGGGGCCCAGAGTCTCTGACGCCGGGCTCGATCCATCACGAGTGGAGAACTTGAATCTCTCCCTTGGAAGCGGTTGTATTTTTAGACATCCCTCATTTGATTTCCCCATCCTCCATTCCTTAACCAAGGCAGGACTCGCGCCAGGCAGCCAGTTGGGAAGGCAGACGACGTTCACTGCTAAGTTTGTTTTCCTTAGGTCTAAGGAAAGCCTCAAAGGGGGGCTTTTCTGTGGCACCTGACCTTTGTCAGTATTCTGTGTCAGATCGTGGTACGCTGAAAAGGAGTTCAGCTTTCAAGAGAGCTGCAAGCATAATAAACTAGGGAACTAATTACTAGCTATTAAAAACTAATTTTAAATATCTTCTGTAAACCATTGTTGAAATTCACTCCAACTTTCCTTATATTCTGCGGGTGTAAAGCTGGCTTGCAGAGGAGGAAGGTTCCTTCCTCCTCCAAGACATTCAGCACCGGGGGGCATCTGATCGGTGTCCAACAAAACGTCTGCCCATCTCTCTTCAGAGAGACACCCTGCAGGCCCGAGCTGGCTTTGTTTCTAAAATGCCTGAACCTTAATGTCTCTTGAAGCCAATCCAGACCTCAG